TCACACTCACGGGGCACCTCCACTCACGGGGCACCTCCACTCACGGGGTACCTCCACTCACGGGGTACCTCACACTCACGGGGCACCTCACGCTCACGGGGCACCTCCACTCACGGGGCACCTCACACTCACAGATCACTTCCACTCACAGGGCACCTCCACTCACAGGGCACCTCACACAGGGCACCTCCACTCACAGATCACCTCCACTCACAGGTCACCTCACATTCACAGGTCACCTCCACTCACAGGTCACCTCCACTCACAGGACAGACTTCACACTCACAGATCATCTCACACTCACAGGTCACCTCACACTCACAGGACAGACTTCACACTCACAGGACAGACTTCACACTCACAGATCACTTCACACTCACAGGTCACCTCACACTCACAGGACACCTCACTCTCAGATCACCTCACACTCATAGACTATCTCACATTCACAATGTGAGATATCTCACCTCACACTCATAGGACGTCTCACACAGGATGCCTCCTAGTCACAGAGAACCACATCTCATATGCACAAGACACCTCACACTCACAGGACGCCTCATACTCACAGGAAGCCTGACACTCACAGGAAGTCCAGCTGTCTGAGACACAGGCCAACATGGTCATCTCCAGGCAAATGGAGGATGGTCATGCCTAGTATTTTTATACACCTAGTTTTCAAAGCAGTTCTCATGTGCTATATTCTCGCAGCACCCTGTGAGTTTGAGTTCAGATGGCCAAAAGTTTCTTCAGCAATCCCTTTTTTCTGTGGAGCGCTTTTGTAGTTTGTGGAATATTTTGCATCTGCTACTGCACCTTCTCCCAGTGTCAGCTGTGTGTGTGGCTGCCCTGTCAGAGGTGGAGCTGTGGCCCAGAGGCTGTGTCCTTCGCCCCAGGTCCACAGCTCAGCAACAGAAGGTCAGGGCCGAACCCCGGCTATTCTGACTTGGGAGCAGGAAATGCGTAGTTACCCATAGTTCCAGATGTCCTGGGGAGGGGCCAAGATTAGGAGAAACTTCCCTCGGCTCCAGAGGAAAGTCTGGCTCCCTGAGCCCACCCTACCAGGCCCAGGTCCAAGCTCCCAACCCTAGCTCGTGGTTTGTCCAGTGCTTACTGACGGGTGCTCTGGTGAAGGTGTGGCTCATGGGCTTCCTCTCTTGTTTCCTCAGAAGCTCTTCTGGATTTCTTACAGTGGTGAGTAGATGATAACCCGCCGATGCTGCCTGCGGCCTTCTCAGTGTACTGACGCCAGCCCACTCCACAGATGGGGACCAGTGTGCCTCGAGTCCGTGCCAGAACGGGGGTTCCTGCGAGGACCAGTTCCAGTCCTATATCTGCTTCTGTCTCCTTGGCTTCGAAGGCCGGAACTGTGAGACAAGTGAGGCCCCGCTTTGGGTCCTGTATTTGCAGAGGGCCCGGGGGAGCTGGTGGAGGCAGCCTGGCCCACGGGCTGCAGGGTGCACCGTGGTGGGGTGTGTGGACCAGGCATTCTGGGCTCAGCCCCAGTTGGAAGTTGGTATGGGTGACCTTGAAGTTCCTTCCAGTCAGGTCTTTGATTGAGGGACCCAAGATTCTAAGCCTAAGACTCAGCGGCCCCTTGGGCTCCCCGCCCTGGGAAATTCTCAGCCCTTGAGAGGGCCCAGCTGAGAGTCCTAGTGTCCCTCCCTGTCCCACTTCCACATCCCACCAGGCAAGACAGCTTGGTAAACTTCCCCTTCTCTACTTCCCATTACACAGGTTTGAAGGTTTTCCCTTTTGAATATTAAATTATTGCAAAGTGTGGGGCCCCCAACCTCCCTTGGTTCAGTCATTCCCTGGAAGGACTCACAGAACCCACTGAAGTGGATACAGTCACCATTACTGTGTATTACTGCAAAGGATGCAGGCCTAAGTCTGCAGAGAGCCCAGGCACAACCTTCCCGTTGTCCTCTCCCTGTGGGGTCATGTGGACAGTTCTTAATTCTCCCAGAGCGATGTATGACGAGACCGTGGGAAATACTGCCAACTTGGGAAGTGCCACGAGCCCTGGTGTCCAGAGATTTTATCAGGGCTCAGTCACAAAGACCCAGCTGACCTCCCATGTGGCTGACCTAAGTCCCAGCCCCTCCAGGGGCCAAGCTGTTAGTATGGCCCAAGGCCCCGCCATACATCACATGGTCAGCTAGACCATCCAGCATGGCCCAAGGCCTGGGTAAACAACAACATTCCCTCAGGCAGGACCTTCCAAGGGCTTAGCGGTCACTTCCCAGGAGCCAAGGCAAAGGCTGCCCCTTCTCCTTGACCATCCACGTCTACGTTCTTACACTGAATGAGCTCTCTCGGGCAGCAGCCGCTTTCTTCTCTAAGCAGAGGAGAGCCCAGCAGGGTAGGGGAGGCTGAGGAGAAAGGCTTCCTGGTCATCTGGGCCCAGGACACCTCAGAGCTCTGCTCAACCCTGGTGCCCAGCAGCCCCAGTGCCCAGCAGCTCTGGTGTGCGTGCTGCAGGGCAGCCTCCCCGCCGGAGTCCTGGGCTTACTCAGGGCCACTCCCCTTGCCTGCATCAAGCAGTCGGGCTGCCGGTTCTGTGTCTTCTGTCTGAACCCATTGCCAGTGCTGGGGCTGACTGTCCCCAGGCTGGCTCATGGCAGCACGAGGACAGCATGGAGAACTATCTCAGCTCTCTGGTCCTCTTGCCAGTTGGGTCTCTGACTGGAAGTCCCTTGGACACTTGTATTGTCCCCAAGGGACTTTCACTTTCCTCCAGGCTCCCTTCAGCTTCCCATCAGCTGCTTAGAAGAGCAGTCGCCCTGGAGGCCACTGCCCACCAGCCAGGCATCCCCCAAATGCAACTGCAGCCAGCGCTGCCCCCAGCTGACAAGGCTGTTCAGACATGTGACTCCTGATCCAGGCCTCGTCCTTTGGATCAGTCCATGGAGCAGTTGGTGCCAAGCTCAGTCTGTCGCCCACGGCTAAGTGCCACCTTCCAGGCAGAATGCCGCTGCTGACCCAGGGGCCTGGCTCTCACTGACTCCAAGAGGCCACTCTCGGGCTGTCCCTTTCCTGTCCGCAGACAAGGACGACCAGCTGATCTGCATAAATGAGAATGGCGGCTGTGAGCAGTACTGCAGCGACCACGCGGGCACCAGGCGCTCCTGTCGGTGCCACGAGGGATACTCGCTGCTGGCAGATGGCGTGTCCTGCATGCCCACAGGTGACCAGGCCCCAGGGGCTGCTTGTGGCTTCATGTACCAGATGGCCCCCAGTCCAGATGACACCCGTCCTTGTCCCACTATGGCTTATCTTACTGGACAAAAGACAGGTGGGGGTGGCTTCGCATCTACTGAGCACCCACTATGCGCTGACCAACTGTGAGGCGGGATCTGGGCACCAAGGTGGCACAGGCCAGAGCCATATTGCCTAGGATGGGCACCCTGGGGCAGTCCCTGAATGGCCTCAGGCCCTCTGCCCATTCTAGGCAGGCCAGGGGAGACAAGTGAGGCATTGTCTCACATCCCACCCCCACTCATGGGACCTCTGCTAGGGTTCGTGAATCTGCTTTGACACAGCCAATGTCTGTACTGACTGCTGCCCCAGTCTGCATTCCTAAACCTGTAAAGGCTCCTGGGAAAATGGGATGTTTCTCTAAACCAGCCTGGAACTAATGGGCTGCACTTCCAAAGACAGAGACATCCCACGCATGCTGTGTCTCAGGCAGGGACACCCCACGCCCGCTCTGTCTCAGGCAGGGAC